TATTTTTTTCACTTTTTAATAAAGTGTATTTCAATCAAAAAAAGATTTTTATAATAGAAAAATTTGATTGAAAGGACAAATTAAATATTTTAAAAAAATTTAAAATAAATTGAATGCAAATAAAAATTTAAAAATAAATGAGAGATTTTGAGTATTACATAAAGATATACGGATGTATTTACCCCGATAATAGGTCATTGAACTATGTATTTTAGGCTATTAAAAAAAAAATCCATGAAATAGGAATAAATTGATGAAAGTTAACCAGCTGTGATTATGGCCACAGTCTCCCTTACTTACCAAATTTGAGAAAACAGCACTTGCTGAAGACACATCGGAGTCTTCATGAGCAATACCTTTAACTGTCCGCTGGTAAATCATCACAATGTCCTCTGTTTTTTTTTTTTTTTTTTTTTTCCCAAATCAATTTGTTTATTATTGAGATAATATCACTCCTTCTCTACCAAATCAATAATCCACACAACTGGATATAGGGCAGTAATTAAACTAAATTTTTTCTTGACATCTTTTCGGTGGAAAAGAATCCCTTAAAAAGTGAACGTTTGTCTGATTGGATATTTGAAAGCAATTTGAAAAAAAAAAAATCTATCTAAACAACTGGACATTTCAAAGCTTTGAAATTTTGAAATCAGATTTGTAAAAATGTACATAAATAATTAAAGGGTAAAGTAATAATTTTTGGAAGTACAACAAAATTTTGCACTATTTTGCAAAAAAAATATGAATAAAAAGAATATTATTTTAAAATAAATAATATTAAAATAAACATGATTAACACTGATTAAAAAAAATTATAATTTATTTCTATAACTGTCGCAAAGGCTTTGTTCTGTAAAATGCAGTAACTTTCATTTACTCATAACCCATATGAAAAACTAGAACATTCATGCTCCTACCATGAGAAACATAGAGACCACCCAGACGACAGACAAAACAAAATAGACAACATAAGCCTACCGCTGCTCAAACAGAAGTTTCAAAGGTTTATGAAATTCTCTAGAGATATCCATTCCTGCCAAGTGCAGCCATGACTACCCAAATCAACCTCCTTCTGAGATGCTGAGAGAACCAAAGGTTTAAATTCCTTCACTATAAGCCAATGTGATGATGAAACATAGAATTAATGAATCCCAACTGCTAACCAATCTTCTATGCCACCTGGTAACAAATGTCTTCATTTCTCACACTTACACTTGCCTATTTAAACACCATTCGTCATGGACTTGTTACTCACTGATCATCAGCATCCAAGGGCAGCAGTCTCCCAACATACTCTAAAACCTTCTTGTAATACTAGGTTGTAATTTGCCGGTCAGATAATGGCGTCTTCAATGAGCTTGAAGCTGGCATATGCCTTGCTTATAGTGATGGTAGTTGGTGCGCCCCTAGCACAAGCTGCGATCTCCTGTGGTCAAGTGACAAGCAGCTTGTCACAATGTATCGGCTACGTCCAGAAAGGTGGGGCTGTGCCTCCACTTTGCTGCAGTGGGATCAGATCAGTTAATTCTGCAGCCAAAACCACCCCTGACCGCCAAGGGGTTTGCAACTGCTTGAAATCCTTGGCCGGTAGGCTCTCTGGTGTCAGGTATGACTTGGCTGCTGGCCTCCCTTCCAAGTGTGGTGTATCCATTCCGTACAAAATCAGCCCTTCCACTGATTGCTCCAGGTACGTATTCTCTACTTCTTCTCTACATGCATGTATAGCACAAGAAACGCTATGAAGCCCTTTTTTTGTTTTTTTTCCTTGTTTCAGGGTGAAGTGAAGAATTGAAGAAGCAATTCGATTCAGCAGAGGATGAAGGATAGTAATAAGCTAGTGCTAGAATAAAAGGGGTGTTCTAGCCTGTTTGAGCTAACTCCCCGCCGTCTAGGGACTTAAGAGTCTCTTTCTTATGAGTTTGTATTTAAAATACAAATATTGTATGCATTATGTGCATCTGAAAAGTTTATATTTTACTACTATATATTGCAAAGAGTGGATCCAAAACTTTATTTTAGTTGGAGTAAATTTGACATAACTTCATTAATAAAAACAATTGGATAATATATAAGTTTAGCTTTCACCAATAGATTTAGGTGCTATTTAGTAACAATGAATGAAATATTGAAAGTAAGAATGAAAGTTTTATAGGTGTTTGGTTGAAAAATAAAAAATAAAATAAGAATAAAAATTGAGATGAAAGTTAAACTTATTTTCATTTTCATGAGAGATATGAAAATAAAAATAAAAAATAATAATAATATTTTTTTAATTCAAAACAATGATTTATTATTTTTATTTATTATTTATCAATTACTACCGCCTCATCTCCATCTCTAAAACCACCATCATTAGAGGTGGTAACAAAAAAAATTCAATTTTTTTAATTAATTTTACGATTTTGCCACAACTCTTCTATTATCACCTCTGTGATGTGGCATATTGTTTAAAAATATATTATTACTATTAATATGTTTTTAATTCATTATTATCACTGCCACCATCACCACCTTCTTTTTTTAAATCATTATCACAATCATTTGTATTATTTTTATTATCATCATAGTTGATGAAATTATTTTTTAATCATTATTTTTATTTGTCTTAAAAACTAAATATTAAAAAGTTAAAATTTTATTACAATTGTTTATCACTATTCCAAACATAGTATTGGAATAAAAATGCTATTTTGATTCTTTTATTTTTATTTTTATTTTGGATATTTCATTTTTTATAATCAAACGACACCTTAAAGATAAAATACGTCCCATTTCTTTTGTTTTCTTCCCGGGGCTTTTTTTTTTTTGGAAATATGTTCATAAATAATTTAAATCAAATAACTTTACTTAAAAATGATAATAATTAATTTAATTAAAATTCAATAAATACAATTTAACCTATATGTACATATGCACAAAAAAATAATAATAATAACAGGCATTATAATTACTTATTAGTGCAATATGCAAACTGGTAAGCAAAATTTCTAAAATTGTTATAAAAATTTTTTCATTAAAGTTTTCTCTTATTCTTTGATAAAATCAACAAGCTGCCTCCTCTGTATGAACAACTAACGTCAATGTACATTAATATAACAAGAGATAAAACATAGATATAATTGAGAAGGGCTATCCTCCCAATAAATCAAAAAAGAAAAAAAGACATTTCCAATTCAAATACAATTTTTGAGCAGAAAGCCTCTTAAACATAAAACCTTAACAAAAAAAAAAAAAAAAAAAAAGGCTAACGAAAGTCCTAAGCAAATCTGAGTGTATTAAAGTTTATTTATTATTGAATATTTACGTTAAAAAATAAATATTTAAATAAAAATCTATGATATTTATTAAAACATTAAATTAGGATCATAAAACCCAAAAAAGAAACTATTATCAAAACGTAGCGTTTTGCAGAACCCTAATTCGTAACTTTCTTCTACTATAAATACACTACAGTTTCCCCTCAGCCACTAAATCCATGGATCATCTTCGACTTCCCACCATAAAAATTTGCTCTCTTTTCTTGTAACTTGCGTTAAATTTCTTTCAATTGCTGTTCCATATGGATCTCTGAAGCATCATCTTAACTATTATTCTCTGTGATTTAATACACTATATCACATAGAATGCGAATTGATGCAAAATCAACATGGTACTTATTGGACAAGTAGATTTCAATTTTTTTTACATGAATTCTATCTTTTTCTCGTAAGTATCACATTTTAATTTCTCATTTTCTATGTGACCTTCTGTTTAATTTATTCATTTTTACCATTTCTGTTGTTTATTTCGTGAAAGATTGAGGCTTTAGAGGTTTTGGGTTTTGTAGATCTGTTTTTGGATCAAATTCCCAAATGCCCTTTTGTTTAATTTGATTGAATTTATCATTTTGTGGTTTGATTTGGGAAAGATTGCTCAATGATGATTGACTTTGCTTTAACCACACTGAAAGAAAGAGACTTCAGAGATTTTAGGTAAATCTTCCTTTTGTTTAATCCAAAGATGGGTATTGCTTGTTTTATTTGATAGTTGCTTGATGATTCTCTTTTCTATGAGAGTGGAGGTTGTCTTATGATCTCTCTTTTATAGAGGAAAGATGAAGGCTTCTGTCAAGCATTACAAACAGGTTTCTCTTTGGCTTAAACAAAAAGAGGATTGCCTCTTCTCTTGAGTTCTCTGATGTGGACAACTTTGGCCCTTGACTGAGAGCAATCGATCTTTTTAATGGTTTTTGGTTCTTAAGTTTGATTGATTCATAAATAAAATAAAAAATTTGGGATTTTTTGAAAAAAATGAGGCAGATTGACATGCGGATTTTGGATTTTATTTTCATGTAATTTATGAGCAAGTTTCATCTTTTAAGCTCTTGTGCCCAAGTCTTTAAATATTATGTTTAAATTTGTTTTTGCAGTAAAAATTGTTTCATATTAATCAACCAGTTTTATTTAAACTTGCATAAATTCAGAGACCTTCATATCCTATATGATGAGACCAATTTGCTTTTTCTATATCGAATGATTGAATGAGACCAAATAATTCCATAATGGGTTGTTGCTAATATATACGAAATCCAGTGCGTATCTTATTTGCCAGAGTTCTTCTGGGCTCAGAACTTGTGCCCTTGAATTCCATTAAGTTGGATTTTGACAGTGAACTTTATCCTTTAATGCAGCAAATGTTTTTCCTTTGTGATGCATATTAGAGACGAATGGCCATTTATCGAAGCATCATGGACTGGGATGCCTTTCGGACTAAATGGATTTTGAAGGCCAAAATAAGCTGTACTTTAAACTGGTCATTGAACTGGTTTGATTATTTGGCTAGGTTATCATTGCAATTAGCATTCGCAATAACTTCATTCTCTCACAATAGAAAGCATTACTAAAGTATTTAGTAATATAGATATCTGTTTCTCAATCAAAAAACCTAATGTAGGTGCAAGAGCGCCTTTCCTTGTATAGGGTTTCAGCTCTGTGGATTCGCTCCCGTTGTTGAGGTATCAATCAATAAGAAGGCGTCGGTGCCTCCGATGGAGGACCTGAGAAGAGGGTGGAGAAGAACTTTTCGGCCAGTACTTCATTTGCTTTATCGGTAGGGTGGAATGCGTCCCAGAATACATAGTCTTTGCGGTTACTGCATAGTTTTGAGTTAGGCAAGCATAAACCTCCTACGGAGGTATCCACGTTGCAACATGAAGTGTTGGAGACTTTGAAGCCTGAAAATTAACACAAGAATTGCTTAGAAAACTAAGCTAAGTTTAAGCATCAGTAGGATCATGTTTTGAAAAGATGGTCGAACTTGCCATAAGCCTCTGGATTATCAATCAAGTCTAGGACATCTCCATATGTATCTGCAAAGGTGAGTTTAGCATTTGGGAGTCGTTGGTTTAGAGTGGCCATCAATGTCTTAACTCTGGAGTTGAATTCTAGTATCCATTCATTTACTCTCTTTAAGCACTGGCCTGTCTTTGATTTAACCCTCTGAGAAGGAATGCAGCCAAGAGGGCCAAGCCCATGAAAGACCACCTTTCTGGCACCCAGTTGGTATAACCTCTGGCATTAGAAATTTTCATGATATATATAGCTTAGTACATTGAACATACCCCAAAAACAGTGGACGTTGAACAGAAGAGAATTCAAGGAGAAACTTTTTACCGAAAACTGTTTAACTAAGGTGGATATCAGGAGATCTACAAACTCTTCGTATGTGTACTGTTGACCATCTGCTAAAAATGGCTGTAAATAATTGTTCACATAATCATTGCTGCCTGTAAATTCACCGAAATATAAACGGTTAACCCTTTTCGCGGCAAAAGGGGCAGAATGACTGACACATTTACTTGTTAATTCAAGCCTACCAATCCCAACGAAGAACAAAGCCTCATTGCAAAGCTTGTTAGCTTCATCTTCTCCTATCTTAGCCTTTATTGATTCCTTGGTCTTTCTAAAGCATTCTATCTGATCATCAAAGGATAATCTTTGAACCTGCAATACAGAAATCAACAAAACCAGAGTTAAATGTTTAAACATCTGTGGTTAACGCAATTACAGTAAGCTGTCAAGAGCTTCAGAGCAAGATAGATTCTACTGGGAAAAAAAAGAAAAAAAGACGTACAAAATATAATCCTGTATCGTTAAGAATTCCTGCTCCACCAGATGCATAATTGACCCCCTTAAGTAATGCATCGTCATTCTTTGACAAAGAAAGGTAAGGTGGTGGTGAAGGAATCCCAAGTTTTGCAGCTTCAAATTCCACAAAAAAAGAAGAAAAAAGTCAGTTCAATTAGCATTGATGCTTAGAACTATAATTTTACGTTTGACTTGTAAGATAATTAGTAGCAGTATTACAAATTATGTCACCAATAGTCCTCCCATTCGTGAACCTTCCGGTTGCCTTTCCACCGGCATAATCGACTCCATACCATGGATAATCAGACCTTGCAAGAGAATAGGGAAAGTACTTGTTGTTTCCAACTTCTGTCAATGAGTCACCAAAAATATAAGTGACAAGTGAAGCAGCTGAAACCAAAGTTGTTGCCTTTGCTGCAAGAATGAACACAGCCAAAGCCAGTCCTTGTATTGCCATTTTCTGCCAATTTCTACTTGCTTGTGCCTGCCTCAGGAATCAGAGGCATGGATTTATACAGGGTTTAGTGGCATATTCATGGCAGTTTTAGTCATGCCCAGTTCCTCAAGTTTGCACATATAATTAGGTGATTAATTTCATAACCATAGGAGAGACTCTTTTTGCAGAGGCTCTCATTTTAGCAAGTGCAACTTCGTAAGTTTTGGGCGGTTGGTGGCCTCTTCTAGCAGTTGGCCTACTCATCTTACTGTGTCAGCAAAATTAGTTTCGTTAGGTTTTTGCCTTGGTAACATTGGGATTGTTCACTAATTCACTCGATTGTACTCTTCAAGAAACATCACAGCCATGATTCTCTTCCCTTTTTCATGGAAATACGCAGTGAAATTAATAGAAACTTAGTGACACCATCTTTTCCCTCTTGCATAAAATTAACACGAGAACATTGAATTGGGATGCCAAGCAGAGTTGGTCTTAGCAGTAGCTGAACAAATCTTAACAAAAAAGGATGAGTTTAAATGGGAGAAACTAGTATAGGAACATTTGCTCCCACATGCTAAAAAGTTTTATCATCTTTGACTATGTGGGTTTTATATCTTGCAAAAATTTGCCTAGAAGTGAAGATCTGTACATAGCCACAAGATCTTTGGAGCCAATCTGAAAACTAACCACCATCAATTGGAACAAAACGAATCAAGGATGCAGATGGAGGCAATTCAACTATTCAGACGTCCAAATTGATAGCTTTTTAAAGTTTAGCATTACTCATATGGATATAAGATTGTGTCGTGGAACGAAATGTGACTGATAAAATAGAAAAATTTATGAGTTTGTTCTTATATAATGAGATCGTCCTTGATAAGAAAAATCAACTCGATAGAATCATGTATTTCACCAACAAGTTTATGCAAAACCCTATTTTTCCAAATTATAATTGAGTGAGGATTTATTATCCCAATAAAGCCAACATAGCACTTAAATTTATAACAAATGCAGGACAATTGTTTTTTGTTTTTTTAATAATTGATATAAGTTTAATATTTGTCAATGCAATGTAAAGTGTTTTATTTTTTAAATTTTCCAATAATAAATGGTTTCAAATTTGTTTTCAAATAATGATGCTTTTTTCTATGATGCGTCCTTATATATTGCTTATACAAGTTTTTGTTGCATTCCTATGTATACATAGGCAATAAACTTCAATTTTAATTTCCTCCCTTATCTTAACAAACTAAAACTGTTCGATCAAATTAAATTAACACTAAATCATTCCTAGTTTTATATAATCCGTTTATGCAACAAGATCACGAAACACATATTTTCTCTAAATTCTTTCCACATTGATCTTCCAATTGACAAGTCATGCCATTTGTTCTTCCTCTCTCTCTCTTCTAAAATGTCACGACAAATTTTTTTCTCTTTTCATGAAAATAAAAGACTTTTATTTTAATGAATTTAAGAGAACATACTAATCGTTTTCCTATATTTCATTTAAATTATTAATTTAACATGAAAAGTAATAATATCATTTTTTCATTCATCTAGAAGTATTTTTTATGGGATATAGATGTCGACCCATTGATTAAGGATACGTGGAAGAATCTAACATGAAGGCGGTATGATAACATGCTCAACAAGCTGAAGCATAAGAGTAACAAACCTATGTTTATTAAACAGAAGGTGTGAGAAGCATAGCACCTGGATTGGGCCATTCTTGAGTATCAAGTCTAATCTCAACAGGCATCTTGGAACCGCATGTCAAAGATGGGCCATGATAGGTGAAAAAATCCGGAGAATCGTGAGGCCTACCTTAACTCAAGCAAGCCTTGAATATCTAAATTAAATCCTCAAACTTATATCACATCAAACACCATTTCATTTTAACATCCATAATCATCATTCTAACTAATCAATATCACAATGCTTATACATATCCATAATTAAATTCTAATACGACTCCCACAAGATCTAACTAGAGAGCTTTTAAAAATTATAACAAAATCAAGCCCAAGTTCCAAGAGATTATAAGTAACTAAGTTGCATGATCAATATACCAACTTCAAGACAATAACTTTGTAGAAGCAAAAAGTAAGCTAGCAAACCCCGTAAAACTAAAATAATGGAGTGTGAGCAATTAACGAACTTAATGAGTAGATACTATATAACATATATAAAGAAGGGAAGCGGACTAAGAATGATAACTTAAATTTTGACTCACGATGCAATGCTTATTTCACCAAACTAAATGCATATCATAAATATCAAATTGTGTATTATAACTTAAATGGTTCAAAACCAAATCACATCAAATCATCAAAATTGATGTGTGTGTGTGTGTGTGTGTGTGTGAGTATAATCAAATCAAATCATATATCTAGGTTTTCATTATACTTGGGGTGAAAACATAATGTATCATTGAATGCGAACACCCAAAGGTCACGTCCTTTTGACTAGATTTTCGTATGTTGCCCAACACATGGGCTAGCACTACACCTCTTCTACCACTGAAGCTTAACATATCATTGAGCTCTACTCGAGGCTATCCCCCGTAGGTAGGTACCCTAAGGTAATCAAATGATATCGAAAACCATATAAGCTTATACATATTTCAAAATACTTAAATCCAATATATCAAATATAATGTATGCTCAAAATCGGATTGATAGTGGGATTCAATATCAAATAAATATTAACAAAAATTATACAAATAATCAAAATAACGAGTCTAAAGTAAATTAGCATTTAAGTCCATAATCGCATATCAAACCATAAACAAAACATTTGTTCAAACACATTCAAATCCCTTTTTAAAATCATACCAAACCATTTTCGAAACAAAATCATTTCAAATGCTCATGGGATTCATTTTCGTCTAAGTTATAAGGAATGCGATTAAATCACGGATAAATCGATGATACGTGACGGATATGTCGAAGAAATTTAAAAGCATAATATGTTATATAATATCCACTCACAAGTACAAACGAAGGATCGAACGGAATCAAGGTTACCGTGATGGAATCACCCGCTCCGAAGAATCTAATAACACAAGATGATAGAATAACCATTAATATCACATATCGAAGAATAATTCAAAACAAATGAGTTATTTTACGAATAGGAATACAATATTATCTATAAGAATGGAATTGATGATTTAATATTTGGAAAAGAAAAATATGAAAACAACCAAATTTGGAATTTCTTTCTATTTTCATAATAAAGGAAAATTATTAGTTTTTTTTTTTTTTTGAGTGATTATCATAATTATAGGAGTTTACATCCTTATTTAGAAGAATTTTCTATTTTCATAAAAAAAGAAAAATTATTATTATTATTATTTTACTTTTAGTGATTATCATAATTATAGGAGTTTCCGTCCTTATTTAGGAAAATGTTGTCAATAATCCAAAAAAATGAATGCTATCAATGAGTTGATGTTTTTTTATCCTCCAAAGAAGACAAAAAAAATTTAAAATTTTTTAAATGAAAGGAATTTAGCCTATCTATTTTCATTAAAAAGAAAAATTATTAGTTTTGTTACTTTTGAGTGATTATCGTAATTATAAGAGTTTCCATCCTTACTTAGGAAAATATTGTCAATAGTCCAAAAAAATGAATGATATCAATAAATTAATGTTTTTTTTAGATCGATTTAGCGATGAAAATTTAATAAAATAGTGATGAAAAACTGTCAATAATCAGCGATGGCAAAAAAATTTTGGTCATTAAGAAAATAACGACTACCATACTAGCGATGGAATTAAAATTCTCTCTAATCCGTCGCTAATGATGTATAGAGATGGATTTTTGACATATAGTAATAGAAAAATCCGTCGCTATATGCTGGATTTTTTGTAGTGAAACAATCAACAAATACGTTAAATTATATTTTTGTAAAAAAAAAAATCAAGTCTAATACTAGATTTGAGATTATTATGGACAAAAGGGATGAAACAAAGACAAAGAAAGAAAAACTGCTACCGCCGGTAAAATTTTCACTACCAACCTAAAAGAAAAACTTTCAGAAACTAAACATATTAACATACAAACAAGCAACAAAGTCTCTGTCCCCACGTTTCATCGACTTAAGCTTCATTTTCTCTCTTTGATCGTTCTATTCTACCAGACTTTCTCTTTTGAAATGTCGGCAGCTACATTATTGAAATTGAAATGACAAAGATTATTTATCCTACCCAGAACTTATCAATATCGAGTGCAGTTCTTATAAACTGGAATTATTACACAGAAACATTGTCTGTAACAAGAGAATGCATAGCAGCAACATGCCGCCAACCAAAGCATGTCATACTGCCAGATAACCCATGTTCGATTACATTTTTATTCAAATAAAATACAGATTAATTTTAATTTCGAGATGATTTCTTATTTTCTTTTGGTCTTTCTTAAGCTGGAAGAATGGGATATTTCAAAGAGCCAACTATGCACTGGTCGGTTGATTTGCTTTAGATTTCTTTTCTAAATAACTAGCTTTTCATGTGATGGGTTGATTCTTCGAATGCCCTATTGGATGCCAATTAAAAAACAAAATCAAGAACTTTATTTGCTTTTATGAAATGAATGAGTAAATATGTTAGTTTTATTAATCTGTAGAAAAAGCTAATTGGATAAAAACTATCTCGAGGTCAATAGAAAACCATTGTTTAATTTTTTTTAAAAAAAAATTTGGATCCGAAATTATTATTTTTTATCAGCAACCTTTTAATATCATGACACATACTGTGAGAGAGACTGGAGAAAGACATTTCTAAACATGTGATTGAATTATTGAAAAATAATCAATTTTTTTTAAAAAAATTCAATAGTTATGAATTAGAATTATTATTATTATGATTATGATTAATATAACGGACAGGCCGATGTCGTTTTTTCAGGGAAAAAACAATCATATGTAGAAATATATTTTTTTTTTCAAAACACATGTCTTGATGCTAAAGGATAGCATGTTTTTTTACATACGGTTAATGTCGTTAAACATAGATCAATTATATAAAAAAAAAAAAAATGACATTACTGATTAAAAAAATTCAAAATTCTAATTAAAATAAAAAAAAAGATTATGAATTAATTTCTTGTTGACCTATAATTCAAAATAGTTTTTAAGTACTTAGCCTCGTAAAAATTGCATAACAAAACCAGCCATAATTCTGTAGCTCGGAGGATTTTGGAACCAGCCTCGCTCCTGTCCTGTTCATATTTGCATTGCCATAGGCGGATCGTGGGCT